GCACATTTTGTGGTACATAATGTTTCCATTTTTATACGGAATTAGTGCATGTACATAACACATCTTAATTTCTTTTTTCATCCCTTTTTCATCCCCTCACTTTGACTTTCAATATCCCTCCCATTTAAGTAGCATCTATCTCCCTACTTTCTATTATTTATCTTTTAATTTGCTCCTTATAATTTGGATTGCTTATATAAGAGAAACCATTGAATATTTAAATTGTGTGTCTGATTTATTTCACTTAACATTATGGTCTCAAAGTGTCTCCATTTTCCTGCAAATGACTCAAGTTTATATTTATGGCAGAGTAGTACTCCATTATGTATTAATAAAAAAGAAGAAAAGTTACAAAATTAAGTTTATATGATCTCTGGAATTTACTTATGAACTTTTACTTGTTTTTTAATGTGAATTGAATTTACTCTGTAGTGTCTTACTCACTTTTCTCTGAACATTTCTTTCAGTATTTCTTGTAGATCTATTTATTAGCTATGGAATCTGCTATTCTGGGATTATCTCCATTTCTCATTTATTTCTGATAATGATAATTTTGCATGAAATGCATGATGTTGCTTGATTTCTTTAAATACTTTGATTGGATAACCCTCCTAGCCTTTTCTGAGGAGCATGATTTCAATGCTCTTCCAGATAGGTTAGGACTCTAGTTCAGTTTTCATTTGCTGCTATCACAGAACCTCAAAATCAGCCAGAGATGAGGAAACAGGGCCTTATTTTGTTGTTGTTGTTTTAGAGTATGTCCACAATCCACCCAATCCTTACCATGTGCCTGGTCTTCTAGACTCCCAGGAATAGGCGTTAGAATTGTTTGTAACTCCTTGTAGACAGCTAATTCTGCAGCTTTTCTCTGAGCTTTTAAGAAGCTTTATATGCCCTATCCTCAGGCAGCTGTGATTTTTAAACAATTGCAGCTTGACTTGTGACCTCTGAAAATATTGTTCATAGTGATAGTGAGCGTGTTCTGCGTCAAATCAAATAAAGAAGAACCCAGCAAGCAGGACCTTCTAGGCTAGAGCCAGGTGTGGTGGCACATACCTGTAGTACCAACACTCGAAAGGCTGAAGCAGGAGGATGGCTGCAAGTTCAAGGCCAGCCTGGACTACAAAGTGGGATCAAGGCCAGCTTGAATGGCATAATGAAACCTTGTCTCAAAGGAAAAAATAAATAAACAAATAAAGGAAAAAAAGAAAACCTTTCAGGGAGCTAAAAAAAAAGGTTAAACAGTGACAGTTCTCTGGGAATGAACTCCCAGCTGTGTCCTACAGTGTCACCTAGGTTGCTATCTTTCACAGATATTGAAAGCAGCTTGTTTTCAAGACTACCATGGAGCTGGAGAAAGGAAGAATGAAAATAGGACAAGTTAAATCAATACAGATCTTAGTATGCTAACAAGATTGAGCCATTTGAATGAACATTTCTTAGATTGTTGCAATCTTTGGTTCATTTCTAGAGTTGTGAAAAAGTTGATTTTCATTTATGGAGGAACAGATTTTTAGAGTCTTATTCCATGTTTCTGGAAGTCTAGAGCTCAAAGACATTTTCAACTATGTTGAATTTTCACTTTACTCTAGTACTACTTGAAAATTAAATCCCTTCAGAGATGCAACTCCGTTGTCTGAATTCAATTTCATTAGTATTTGTTTGCTTAGCATTGTATAGTAAGTCCCCAACTTACTAATGAGAACAGAGAATATTTGTAAGTTGGATTCATTCATAAGTCTGACAAAGTAACTCTCATATACCTTTGACAACTATACAATATGTAATGCTTTGTGCTTCCTCTCCATATAACCACTGCTTTTCTGCTTACTTCTGGACATCCTGGGCTCTGATTGAACACTGTGCTACTGTATACTACAGCAACACATCCATGACAATGTCCACCAGATATATAAACTACTTCTGCAATTTGTTAATATCTATGAATGTTTGTAATATGAGGTTCATTCATATCTGTTAAAGATTGTAATTAGAATGTTTGTAAGTCAGGGACTTACTATAGTTCTTATTCATTTATTAATTATACAATTGCCTTTCATTTGTTAGTTCAGAACAATAGTGCCAAACCTGTTGTGACCTGGGTATTGTATAGATAGTTTCCTATTATAAAAATGGGTTTATATCTTTAAAGGGTTGTAAAAGAAACAAAATCCAAACAAAGGAAAAGGAATATGTCACAGAGACCATGCATGACTAGAAAATACAGCCTAAATTACTTACTAATATTTTATAGAAAAAATTGTTAAACTCTGACTTATAATGAAGGGATGTTGGCAGGGTAGTGAGACATGAGTCTATTTGCTATAGTTGCCTTTGTTATGAAGCATTAAATATTTTGTTCAGAGTTCCAAATTATAGTCTCAGAGCTGGAAGAGACTTTACAGATTATCAATGTAAAGCTTTTATTTTGCTTATGAAAAACTAAGGGTTAAAGACTTTTCAGTATCATGGTGCTAATTAGCCAATTATAAATCCTCAGATTTCTATGTACATTTTAGTCAACAATCCTTTTTAAGATGTATACAAGTTTTTCGGTCCTAGTCTTACCTTTCTCGGTGAAAAGCATTCCTAATGTTAGAGAAGTAAGTCCTGCTTTCTACTCTTCTTTAGTTTCACTTATTCCTTTACCTCGTGGAGAAGCTGTGTTCTTTAATATTTCTGGATAGTCCGCAACTGAAGTTCTTTTCTTATTTCCTCATTTTACCAAAGGAAGGAATCCCTTAAATATTCATATAGTGGATTCTAAAGTTTTCTTCTTGATATCTTGCTGAGAACATGTATATACAGTGCTTTTCTAATTGTGCTCCATTTTAGGGATGAGCAGAAATATAGAACTAAGTGACTTTCCAACTATGTCACCCCTGATTCAATGAGAAAAACTACATTTTTCTCATGAAGTAGGCTTCCAAGCAAAACCAATTTAAATAGGGGACTTGGAGAGAGAGAGAGAGAGAGAGAGAGAGAGAGAGAGAGAGAGAGAGAGAGGGAGAGAGAAAGACAGACAGACACAGAGACAGACAGACACAGAGACAGACAGCAGAGAGCTTGAAAATCAACCTTTATGTAGACCATCGATGAAGTCTACCAGGAACCATAAAGATTTCCAAATGAATCTCAGGGAACATTGAGAAGAGCTGGTATTACATCATTCCATCTCCTAGAGATAGAAATAAGTCTTGGGATAGTAGAGGAGCTAGAAATCCCAATTCCTCATGAGAAATTAAAGCATTAGGAAATAGGTTGAAAGGGGTTCAAATACAATAAATGTTCTCAGCCATTTGGTAAGAACTTGGCAGTTCTTTTAGAGCTTGAAAGGAATCCACATATATCTTCACAGCTGATAAGGGTATAAATGTCAGTAAGTGGAAGAAAGAAAGACTTTTTACTAAATGATGCTTGGACAATTGGGTATCATAGGTGAAACAAAGAAGCAAACAAAAACCTTGACTAAAATCGTTTATCATATGCAATAATTAACTAAAAAGTGAATTTTACTTAAATTTAAACATTTAGAAAAGAAACATAGCAGAAAATCTCCATAACATTAGCTAGGCAAAGTGTTGTAAGATTTATCCACAAAAGTACAATCCAGAAAGAAAGAAAGAAAGAAGGGGCTGGGGATTTAGCTCAGCGGCATAAGCATCTGCCTTGCAAGCAGGCAGTCGTGAGTTTGATCCCTGGTACCAATAAAAAGGAAAAAGACAAAAAAAAAAAAAGAAAGAAAGAAAGAAAAAAGATAAACTGAACCCAACCAAAATAAAGGACTTTTGCCTTACCAGAGACCATACAAAAGGCATGAAAATATAAGCTATATAGCTTGCGAGCAAAGATTTGCAACCCACATATCTAACAAAAGATTTATTTAAAGAATATAAAAACAACTTTTAAAACTCAACAGCAAGGAAAAAAATACAATCAGGAAGTGGAAAAAAGATATGAGGAATTTTTCACTGAAGAAGAAAGATAGATGTCATTTAGGTACATGAAAAGATGTTTACCATCATTAGTCACCAGAGAAATACAAAGGAAAACCACAGTTAGAAATCAGCGCAGATCCTCAAGAACGGTTAAAGAGTAGTGAAAGCACCAAAGGCTGGTGAGGATGTAGAAGTACTGAATCGCTAATATTTTGCTAATGAGAATGGAAATGGTAAAGCTATTCCGGGAAACAATATGACAGTCCTAACAAAACTAAACATGCATATGAAACATTCTGTATTCATTCTATTCTGTCAAAAAACAAAAACTAATTTATCATCTGTAATTATCATATGACTCAGCAATTGTACTCTTGGTCATTTATCCCAGAAGAAATGAACATTTACCTTCACAAAGAATAGCCCAGAATTGGAAGCTTCCTACATGTGCTTCAATGGGTGAACAGTTAAGCAAGCTGTGGTACATTCACACAATAGGATATCATTCAGCAAAACAAGAGCAAACAGTTGACACGTGCAACAACTTGGGTGAATCTTAAGGGAATTATGGTGAATAAAAAAGGCCAATTCCAAACAGTTACACACAGTAAGTTTCCATATATAGAACATTCTTGAAATGCCAAATTTATAGAGATGGAAAACTTATTATTTGTTGCAATGGCTTAGGTATGAGAGGGTGATGCTTGTATTATACAAGGTTGTAGTTATCAGCAAAGGAGCCCTGTAGTAAAGGTTTTATCTTGACTGTGGTGGTGGGCATACAAATTCACTGTGATAACATTGCACAGAACTCTATACACATATGCATGCACACACACAAATGAATGCATGAAAAACTGCAAGATGCAAGTTTGGGGAGAAATTCAGTGTAGGTTATGCTAGTATCTGGTGTCTCCCAATACATGTTTCAACTTTTTGTGAACTGATCACGATTTCAAAATAAAACGACAGAAAAATATCAATAAAAAACTAACCCAGCTTTTCCAGAGCTCAAGGAGTCAAGAAAAGGAAAGTTAACTTTTTTTTTTTCTATTCTTATAGGATCTGTACCTGCCTCTGTCCTTGGATGACTCAGACTCACTTGGTGATTCCATGTGAAAGGAGAGAGAGTGTATTCAATCCAGTGTGCAAATCCAAGCCTACCAAGACAGTAGGGTACTTTCGCTCGAGTATCCAACAGGGCTATTGGTGCTTTTAAAATTTTATTTGTTGTTGTTGTTATTTTACAAAACACACTGTAGTATGTTGGATTTATTTTCCTGTGATTTCTCCTCTGGGCCACTGATCCACAGTTACCAGTTATGAGAGAGAGAGATTGATAACCATTCTTTGGTATCTTTCCAGGGATGCAAAAATGTGCTAGTCCATGACCTTTCTACTGAATGATTAGACATGTTCATTGTCTTTGTTTGGTCATACCCTACTGACTTCCTTCTGTAGAGGGCTATTTACCTGCATAGCACTTAAAATGTTTGTATAAGAAAAAAATCATTGGCAGATCCAAGAGTGACAAACACAAGTACCCCTTGTCTCTGGAACTTAAAAATGCTGGAGGATTTCAGGAGGATGGCATGGTAGCTCCCCAACCTTGCTATTCACTTCTGACTGAGCTCCAATTTGTTGGCTAGCCCCAACTCTGGCTTGTCCAAGGGGAGAAACACCAGCAACTTATTGTGGCACCAGATACTTGGGGCCATGATGCAGGGTTAGCTGAAAGAGGTGAGGCAGGATTGGGAAATGCAGATATTTCAGTAGAGTTTGTAAAGCACAGTGAATTCCTGATCAATCTCTTCACTAGGGCAATTTTGGAATCAATAGACAATTGATGAGTCTGGGGTAAAGGATGTCATATACCTGATTCCTCTAGGAGGCTGTCTAATAACATAGCAACTTATTACATGAACTTTATGGTATCCATCTCTCACTGTTCTATTGAATGCCTTGTAAACAGCCAATATTGAAAACACTGTGAGAATATGTTTTCAGGTCTGACATCTTTCAGTCGCTTTTTATAGCAAGAAACCAGTATCCTTTTTATATAAACTCATGACTGTATTTCAGGAGCAAACTCTTCAGGCTCCTTTTTTATAAACTGGTGATTTTTCCTTTGTCTAAAAAACACATGCAGAAAATTTACCAAAAAAAAAAAAAAAAACCCAGAAGAATAATGTAGTTTAGAAATCATGCTGTCACTGCCAAACAGAAACCTCCAGGAGAAAATAAACTAAATAGCAGAGAGGCCAATTCAATAGAATCAATCTTTTGATAGCTTTTTAAGAGTTATGCTTACATTAATAATTTCAATGTGGACCAGACATTCTTATATTTTCAATGAAATGTTATGACATATTTTAAGCAACTCTTTTATCTATAATCCTAATATTTCATACTGAAGATACAGAATCCTTTCACTTGTCTTTAACATTAGAAAGGATTCCTTCTTATTAAGGACTGATCTTTTGAAATAGTTCTCAGTCTTTGAGGTACAGGTTCATACCACTGCTTTTTGTCTGTAATCATAGCCCATAATGGTAAAGACAACTAAATTTAGGTAAAAGTCATGCATGCCAATTCTGTGTCTACTTTTAGCAGATATAAAAGATTTCCTTTATTTCTTTGTAATTGTTCAGATATTTTGAAAGATGCAACATTCAAAGCCAGGCTCTTGTTTGGCTACTGAATGACTTACAATTGTCCCTCCACTCTACATGGAATAAGCTTGATCTCTGTGTGTGCGCGCATGTGTGTGTGTATCTGCAGCTGCTTCACAATTAGGAAATATTCTAAGACAACCCAGCATGGATTGGTGGCAACTTGTTGGCATTGCTGATCTGCAAGTAAGAACACAGGGTGGTAAGAATAGATGCCCTCAATATGTTTCAGATTTCCTCAGTGACCAGAGACACTTCTGGTTCAGAAGTTAAATGATGCTAACACTGGTTTCTGGTTAAACTGGTCATTGGAGAACCCTAAATTATAAAGATGTCCTTTTGCCTTCTCCTTTATTTGTAGGCACATTTAAAACCATTAGTCCTATTTTACTCAGCAATTCTTTCTTTCTAGAAGCTCAGGGTTTTGTAGTCCCTGCCAGAACAGTTTGTAGTTAATTAGGAAAAAGTGATACTTGGGATTGGGGGTAAAAGATCTATTTTTAAACTTTAGGTAAGACCCTCTACAGAAAACCCTCTGCCAATGGTCTTTCTCAAGATCTCATTTAACTCCTTACATTTATTTGGACATGAGGAAATGGAGACATGGGCAAGGTAATGACCTGCTAGGATGGTTGGGCCACAAGAAAAATCCAGGCTTTATTATGCCCAGATTCCACACTAGTTTTCTGAGCATTTTCTTGCTTGTGGCACATGTATCACTAGAAAATCCTAAATGGATCTTATTTCTTTAGAATAATCTTTGATCCAATACTATTCTGTACCAATAAGTACAACTTCCATTTTTCTTTTGATCGGTTACCAAGAAATATTTCTGTACTGCCTCTTCATATGGGCTCAGCATAACTCAAAATTCAAGTCTACAGCAATTATATTTTTAACTGGCCAATTTATAGGGCAAATTTTTGTGTATAATTGAGCTCTTTCACCTCTATTATTCATTACCACTTTTACTCAATCCAATTTTACCACACCTGTCTCATCATGTTGACTTTTGCATGGTCAGGAAACAAATCAGCAAGCATTTGCCACTACTCCCTATAACTTCTCCCTTCCTGTGAATACACTTCAGATACGCACACATACACATACATACACACACACACACACACACACACACACACACACACACACCATCTGTTGCTTGTTCCTACCTCCTGAGTTTTCTTCCTTACAGAACTAGAAATAGGGACAAAGAAGGGGAAATGTATATATATGAGGGCTGGGCTGAACAAGTAACTTCATAAGTAGTGTTAACTAGGGGTAAATTGAGAGAAAAGCTCTTTTTCTCTTCATTGTTTTGGAAAGGATAGCCATTAGCATGACTGCTTTGTGTCCTTATGGACTTTAGTATTAGCCTAGACTGAAGCGTATAGTTTTCTAGCTGGAAGGAACCTTAAAAATAAAACATCTACTTCAAATTCCTCATTTGCAGGCCAGGAAATGGAGATGCAGAGGTAAAATAACTACTTCAGGGTCACACAGTTGGCCAAGGACAGGGCTGGGATTAGAACCCACATCGTTTTCCTCTTATTCCAAAGCCTTTTCCCGCTAACCAGTGTTGCCTTCCACTGGGCTCCTGAGAATTCTTTCCCAGGATAATATTACATCTTGGAGCCATATGTTGCTGTCCCAATCTCAGTGGACAATTCACCCAACAAGCTAATATGGTCCTTTCTCTGTACATTCACTTGATTTTCATCTACACAGGCTGAAGATGTCCTCAGAGAGGGAAGAAATAGTAGGAACAATGATCCATCTAGTTCAGGGATCGTTGTCCCACCTGGAGGTGCCCCTCAACAGATCCTAATTCCTGTCTCTGTCAAAATGTTATGGAAGACTAGTTATCCCTCTCAGCTCACCTCATGTCATCTCATACTTGTTGGTCTTCCCAGGCTACAGAGAAGTTTGTTTCCAAAACAGGGAAAGCAGAAAGAATAACATTTTTGTTCTTGACTTTCTGTAATGGCTTTTGAACATTTGTTTAAAAACTAGGGTGGCTACCATTCCTACTGGCAATGATTTCTTTTAAAATATGTAAGACCAGTTAGATAGAATACTTAGTCTTACTATGGTTGCCTTCATTCATGGAGTCCCTATAGCCATCTTGCCCTAATGGGGACAATTTCCACATATAAGCAAGGGTTTATGTGTAAAATGTACCCTGGCTGATGTTAAACATTGGCTTCTTGTGTTTGCACTAAAATAGCAAGCAGTGTGCTCTTCACACCATACACTTTTTCTTGTGTACACTTCTGTGGCCTTCTGTGTCAGAAACCAGGGCAACCAAAGTCTTAGCATAGATTTTTCTCTACAGCAAGTCTCTTCTCTGGATCTAAGAGATATCATTAATTGAATTCTAAGAGACCTACTAGTCTTTCTCCATACCCCAGATATTTCTTTCAGTTTCCTGCTTCTTCTCCCCAGTCAGAAGTAACTAAAGAATTTTAAAGTGGATGTCCAGCTATCTCTCAGATTTCTACTTAAAATCACCTCATCCAAGCTTTAGACTAGCAATTCAGTGCTTGTCTTGGTCTATACTGGGTCTTCATCTATAATCTCTAAAATACAGTATCTAGATATATACCCAATCCTTCTCAGATTTGATTCTAAATGGAATTTCTTTACTTTTACACACACACACACACACACACACACACACACACACACACCTCCCTGAGATGGGTGAATAAGCATGTCCATATCTTCCAAATGAGCTCCAGTACAGTGTTGGGAATGTTTCAAAGAATCGCTCCATCTCAGAAACAACTAAACAACTATGTCAAGATTCCCCTGGACAAAAATCACTGGGACAGCAAGATTTGAGTGACCTTCTCCCTCTCCTTTTTTCAAAGGCAAGGAAGGAAGGAAAGAAGAGTAACTGTAATCCATTCTCGGTCACATGGGGCCACTTGATCTATGGCTAAGTCTCACTCATGTTTTGCCATCACTGAATTAAGAGATTTGGATATTAGGCTCAGACTGATTTTTTAAGTAAACTATTTGTGGTTCAGAGCTCATCTGGGGCAAAGAAGGGACTGGCATCCTATGTATTAGGACATAGAACCCAAAGAGGCAAAGATTAAGTCTTGGTCTAGCCACTGATGGTATGTTACGCATGATCTCTTTCATAGCAATAGAATTTTGAAATGGAGACTCTCTTGGGTCTCTTGTATGGAGCTGAGAAGTTGTCATATCCCTAACTGCCCTTTGGGGCAGCCCTGTCTACTGCTGTGTGGCCCCAATGTGAGTTTTCTTTTTCTTTGCTGACTTGACAACCTGGAGCAAGAACAGTTCACTGATTCTTCATGCCTGCCTTTTGGCTGGAGAGGGATTAGTTTCTCTGGCGTTTGGTGGCCTATACCATGGATTGCTCTTTGTTAGTCCTTAGAAGTGCTGTTATGTAGTAAAATAATACGAGTTATATCTTTAAAATGGATACACAATTTTATTCTTCCTCTGGCTAACAGTCCTTACTTTAGTAGCCAAGACACAAATGTGGGGAGGAAAATGCATTTCTAAAACAACAGAGCACTAACTCCAGGAGAAACCTACTATGGACTGGGGCTCTCAGCAGCTTCTAGCTCCTTTTACTTTTTCTCACCAGAGACGAGCACACATTTTCGCTATAAGCCTGTCTTTCCGTATGTCTGATTGAAGACTATATACCATCTCATTCCTCCAGAAAAAGGTGCCTTCCCATTCTGTCTCCCCTACCCTGGGCCCCAAAGCTCGCTTTCATCCTCAGAGTTCTAAGGTGATCTTTACACCCAGCCACTTGGTGATACTTCCTGCTTGTTTTCCTTGTTTAGGATCTATGCAGACCTCAAACTTTGGCCAAACTAAGTGCAACATTTGGCTCACTTTTTTGATAAGACTAATTTTGTATCCTTGATTCACTTCAGCTTCTTCTGGAATTAAAGGTATTTTTTTCTTACCTTGAATACGGGGGTAAGGGAGTATAGAACTCCTTTTGGAACGAAAGCATCTTCCTGTTCCTGATTAGAAAGGCAGATTAGTTGGGAGAGGTCAGATGGCACAAAAGAAGTCAGAACAAACAGCTTGTAAACTAAGGTAGACTTGAAGGCACAGGAATGTACTATTTCTGGAAAATAACCCAAGGGAATAATGGCTTTGTGCCACTCTACCTCTGAAGTATCTCTTTTCTTTCTCTATCTAGTTCCTTATAATTGTTCTCTGCTATACTCTGTGTTACCACTCTCTTTCCATAGTACAGACATGAACTCTTTGTTCTATGCAATTCTTCTCTTTTATTATCTCTTTTAATTGTACCCCTGTCTCTTTGCCTTGGCAGAGTATGTGCTTCTTCTTAACTTGTGATTCTGTCTCGGGATTGATGAAAATTTATTGTCAGACTCAACCCACCCTGTTGCTACCCCATTCAAGGGTAATCAATTAAATCCTGGCCCTTTCTTGTTTTCCATTTTCCATCTCAGCATATTTTCTCAACCATTTCCTTGAAGCTCATGTATCTTTAGATTTTGGCCTTCCAGGCACTGTACAGAATATTCTGTGGTTCCTTTTTAGTCTGCCATTTTGTGGAGCAATGAAGGTGCTAGAAATTGTCAGTTGAACAGAAAAATCCACCGATGGACTCATACCAGCTAAATACTATTATTTGATTTTATTTACTTTGCTCATAGTTTAAACAGCTGCAATATAATATAAGGAGAGAACACAACTAATTGCTCTTGTCATTTGGATTGGCTCAGTTGTGGGTGGGGGAATAGAAGATATTTGTTTAAACTTTTACCACTACTTACTAAGTAAGATCTCTGTAATAACTGTATATGTTGAGCTTACCAGCTACTGAGTTTTTAAACATAAAATGATCAGCAGTTGGGGTTTATTTAAATAAGAAGAGTAACCAATCCAAACTATAAAAAAATTCACTTAATTGCAATGTATTTTCCTTCAGTTAGGATACTTACTTAAAAATTTTACTTTTAACAGCAACTGTCCATGATCTTGCATAGACAGTTTACAGATGAGCAATTAGTCTAAAGAAAGACTGTGTAGGTGCTAATTTTACAACAGACTGTATAACCCATGAGAATGTCTTTGTTTGGCAATACTATATTGAATGCCAAAATTTCTAATGACTTTTCATTGCAAACTCTTCTAAAGGGATTTGAGCAAGTAAGAGATTATGCCAAATAGTCTCCAATGTGTGGGCCTGTAATATATTGCAGCTTAAAGCCAGTGATCTCCTATGACTTGTATACAACTAATGCATGTTTTGATTGACTTTTTGCATTTCTCACGTGTGGTAACTTTTTAAAACATTTTTGATGTCATTTTTGTGCCATTAAACTTGTACAGAAAATGCTGTTCTGGTCATTTTCAAAGGGGGAAAGTTTAAAATGGAAACAGCCCACCCTTTCTGCCCTATACTGTAGTTAGACTTAAGTAACTGTAGCAAAAACAGTTGTAATTGGTAGTTGTAGTGTTAGAAGTGTTAGCTTGCTAGTGACTAGCTTTGGAGAGTAAATGCATGGTATTATACAATCACATTTCTTAAATAACTCATTTTAACCTCTGAAAAGAATGCATTCTTCCTTGTGGCCCCTCTTCCCTATCCCCTACCTAGTCCCACCCCCACCCCACTCCCAGGTATCTTACAATTCTAAATAACTGACTATGAGGCCAATAATTCCCACCAAGAAAAGTCAGCAAAGAACAAATAAACCAAAAATGGAAAAAAAAAGGCTTTTCTCGGCAGTCTCTCAACAGTTATTGACTATTTCTCAAGGAATGACATGACGATCGAAGATTCAGCTTCCCTTTGCATAAAAAAATCACTGGCAAATCAGGAATGTCTTTGGCCCTTGGATTACATTACAAAATTGAAGAATTATCAGAATTGCACATAATTCGAAGATAATATACAATGATGTCCCAGATCCTTGCCTTAGTTTTGAGGAATTTGGAGACATCAGCTTGATCAATGACCAATAATTATTGGGAAAAAAAGAAAAGGAAAAGAGAAAAATACAACTAATACTTAGGGGGTTTAGTCACCCCTTTAGAATAGCCAGAAAAGTGAGAACATGATGGATTTATGTGCATCTCTGTGTTTCCTAGGCAATGCCTAGCCTGCTCTTAGGCTGTGATTCAAAGGCTATATTTTAAGCAGACATTCTTCTTTTTGGTTTACTGTTTCCCCTTGTACTGGTGGGTTAGGTGAGGCCCAAGTAAAGTGATTGGAGCAAACTCTTTTATTTCTTGTGCCTGGTACATTCCCCTACCCCTTCCCCCTCCATAATTTGATGAGGGCTCTTTGGTCAGAGGACTTCCAGGTTGTCTAGAGAAATTAGCCATTTGTGTAAAGTGTTGTGAACTGTGAATGCTGCAGATCTGCAGTGTTCAACACTGGGCAGTCAAAGAACTGCTCTTGCGATCATTTTGGCTCTTAAGCTGTGTTCTCCATAGCATTCTCATTTCTGTGTACATTTGCAAGATATATGTAATGTCATTTTCCAAAAATAAAAACTTGATTTCAATATTTTTGGCTGACATTCTCTTTTTTAAACAATCAAGTCAATGATCATATAACCACAATATGTCCCACCTGGCAGGAATTAGACATTATATTGTAAAAACTCTTAATTTTATGAATGAGAAAGCTGAAGATCAATGTATGATGGAAAAACTATAACAGCACAGCACATTTGTAACATGTATGATCTTGGCTCTCCCTCCACAGTTGAATGGAAATCAAATAACCTGCTTTGTGTATAAAATGCTTTGCCCAAAGCCATTCTGTGTCATTACAATAAGGGGCCACATTGAGTGTGTTTTCTAAGACATGAAAAAGACTCGGTGTTCCTTAAAGATCTCTACTTGCTACCTGAAATTCATTAACAGTGTAGTCATTGTTCCTCAATAGGTTGATAGTGTAGCTACTATCTTGGAAGAGGAGCACATAGATTGGGTACAAATTAATAAATATTTTCTCAGACTGTGTTTCAATGAGATCAAGAACACAAGGAACGAGGCTTGGGAAAAAGTTGATGTAGAGAGTGGGAAGCAAGGCACAAAAAGAAGAGGCTAAGCTCTTGGGAAATCTGAGATCTTTGGCCTGTTCTGTGACAGCCAATCCTACAACTCTAACTTAATCTATGTTTGGAGACACAAAGACGTCAACATCTCCTAAGCACTCCCAAGGACGGAGGTGAGTAGGAGTTCCTCTTCCATACAGTATTTTATCAACTAGTCCTATGGCCATAACTTTGGTGAAGACAAACATAGTAGATAGAGATAGGGCTTCTTTTTGATCCTCATCTAAAAAAAAGTTTAATGCAACAATCAGACTAGTTTGACCCCTGCAATAAAATTTTTGTAATTAAATTTTCACCAGACTGTAGTGGAAAGATAAAACTAAGGACAATACAGTGTTTTTTTAAAAAAAGAAATAATATATTCCACTTAATGGATTACCTTTTGTTTTGATATTACATCATTAAAAATATCATCTTTTTGGTGATATTTTGACTATGGTAGAAGATAAGTATGTATTTGTTTCCAAATCTCCATTGAGGCAAATTTTCTTATATGTTATCAATATGGAAAATTGATATGTGCACTTAACATATTTTGATTATTTCCAATCCTACTACCCCCTCCTCTCTTTTTTCTGTCCCTTTCTCCTTCTCCCTTTCCAAGCATCTACCTTCTACATTTCTGTCATCCCTTCTTTATTTTAATTAATTTTTTCAGGTTTCTCATATAAAAGAAATGAGTCCAGTGGAATAGAGCAGAAGATGCAGAGAAAAACCCGTGTATCTACAACCATTTAATTTTTGACAAAGGGGCCAGAAACATTTGCTGCAGAAAAGACAAGCCCCTTTAACAAATGGTGCTGATACAATTGGATATTCACATGCAGAAGATTTAAACTAGATCCTTGTCTCTCCCTGTACTAAAATCAAATTAAAATGGATCAGAGACCTAGATATTAAACCAAAACCTTTGATAGTTCTAAGATATAACATAAGGGAAACACTTGAAGCTGTAGAAACAAGGAAAACCTTTTTGAATAGGGCTCCAATAGCATAGGAAATAATCGCAAGAATCCACAAATGAGACCAAATTAAAAAGCTTCTGCACAGTGGAGGCAAAATCTAAAGTGATTTATCCAAGAAGGTTAAATTCATGTGTTTATCTTTATTTCTTTTCTTTTTCACTTCTGACGATCTGTGAAGTCTAGAAATTTATCAACCACTGGTTTAAATTAAGAGAATGGAGAAACAAAGACACCAATATGGAGTGAGCTGTAAGAAAATATCAGTTTTGTATTTGAATGAAGTTCATCTCAAGAGCACTCACACAAAATAGTTTTCACTATTTCCCCCTCTTCTGTTTCCTCAGCTTTTCTAAGTTCTCCTTCAGCCTCCCCTTAGCCTTCTTTTCTGTGCATAGTTTGAGCAGTGGTGCCAACAATGCTAAGCAGTTCCATCTACAAATTTGCCAGAAATGCACATCCTCTAGCCCCACCTCATTCATACATATATCTATATCTGTATCTATATCTATATCTATATCTATATCTATATCTATCTATATCTATATGACTCTGGAAATAGGGTACAATGGCTGTATGTGAAAAAGCCCTCTAAGAGAATTCTGAGACTGAAAATGGTGATGCATACGTACAGTTCTAAAACAGAGGCTGAGGCAGGAGGATGCAAGTTTGAGCCCAGCCTGGGCAACTTAGTGATTTACTGAGACCCTGCTTCAAAATAATTAGAGAAGGGCTGCAGATGTAGCTCTACCTCAAGACCCAGGGTGCAATCCCCAGTGTCAAAAAGGAAAAAAAAAGAAGGGTTCTGAAGCTCTTTCTTGTTTGTAAACTCTTCGCTCTAGTAGATTCTACTTTCTTTTCCCCAGGACTCAGTGAGAATTTATGTAGCATATGTGATTTTATGTGCTGAATTAGAGTTTGCATCTCTCCCCAAAGGAGAGACTCATGCAACTGTTACTTCTAGTAAGATCTTTATACATTTGGGTTTTTTTAGTGGGGAGTACAGGCAGCCTTTCAAGCTTGGGACAAAACTTGCATAGGTAAAGGCATTCTGGAATAGACCTTCACAGCTGTTTCAAGAGTCCAGATGGGGACATAAAGAGGCTGTGTTAACACCAGAGCTGGAGGTAGGGGTGGGCCATGGGACTGTCAGTATAAAGGTGGCAAATTGCATACAGGGAGGAAAGGGAGAGAGAAAACCTTGATTTAAGCAATTTGGTCCAAGCTTCTCCCACTCCCAGACCTGCCCCTGCTCTGGACAGCTCAGTAGCCTCTCACACACCTCCCCTTCTGACTTGAGCCCTGGCTCTGCAATGCTCATCCACACTTCACTTTTGCTGACAAAATCTACCCTTCTTTCCCTGCCTAGAAAAATACCCTCTGAATGCCCTTCCACATTCGCTCCACCTGTCTAAATCTCAGAGGTAGCCAAAACCTACCAGCAACGGAACTTAAGGCATATTTATAAGAAAAACAAACTCAAACATGGAGAAAAACTGACAACTTTCTATCCTGAACTTTCCAGGGCAGTCTTGATCTTATGTAATTTTTTCCTTTTCCAAATAAAGGTAATGTGTTAAACATATAACTAAAGGTGATTTAGTTTTTCTACCTTTCTAAAAAGGAATTTATCACAAATCAGAAAACATCCCTCATAGGCCACACATCTCAGTGAGAATTTGGAAAATAGGATTCTTTTCTCCATGTTTCCTTATCAACTTATCTGGCACCTTTCTTTTGGAATTCTTTGCTTGTGTGGGAGAGGTTATGCACCCTTCATTTCTAACATCTCTTTTTCAGTAATCTAAAGAGTCACATTGTTTGATTGTATAAAGCCTGATTGCTTTGAGAAGATGCAGTAAGCAGGTAATTTCTGTTTGAACACTGGAGGCTACTGATTTTCTCCAAACAAGAAGATATGGCTTAAATTATTGTAATAATTTTCCCACTGCCTGCAGAGCCCTGTGTGACTCTGACATACTTCTGCCAACTGAAAAAGGTGTAAGAACTGGAGTTTTGCTTAAGTACCCCTATTTACTTTCCTCAGAAATGATCTAGTGGATATAGAATTTCAGAATGTCAAGGGCAGAAGGGCCTTGATAAACCACTTGTCCACTGTTTCTCAAACTTCTCTGGGAATCTAAGAAAGGTGGAGTACTTATTACAAATACCACTTCCAGTGCCCCATGTCAGTCCTACTTTATTAGAGTTGCAGAGAAAAGCCTGGAAAGCTATATGGTGAACAAGAGCCTTATTGATCATTTCATTTGGGGAGTTTGCTGCAGCTTTCAAACTTTACTGAAGATAGCATTACCTAGGGATCTTTTGAAAATACCCAGTCTAATTTAAGAGAGTTAGTATAGAGCCTGGATTGTGTATTTCTCACAAGTTGCCCACTGATGTTCCATGTTTATGGTCTGTGGTCCACACATTTCAGGGGCAAAATGCTAAGTTCAAGACCCTCATTGTTTAGAAGAGGAGGAAGCTGAGGCCCAGGGAACCACTGAGACACTTGATTAGAGTCAGGGATGGTTAGCACTGGGGACTCATCTCATGGCCCAGTCCTCTTTCCAGATGACTAGGCCCATCACCACCAAGCACTTAAAGGTGCCCATCTGCAATAACACTGTTTCCAATCAAGAGCTAATTAGAAAAATGATGCTTTCTGAAAAAGGAAGCAGTCCTGACTTGTCTCAGTAACAAGTGGACATTGTGGGAGGGAAAAGAAAGGATGGAGAAAGGGACAAAATTTATGTTTCTTTTTTGTCTTTTTCCTTTTTTCTCCGTACCGGGGATCGAACTCACGACTGCCTGCTTGCAAGGCTGAGCTAAACCTCCAGCCCCATAATTTATGTTTCATTTTAACTGAAGAAATGAGCCAAAGTCTTCTTACAAGGAGTCAAGGTGGGGGAAAAAGTTAAGGTCATGCAATGTTCTCCTGCATTATCCAGGGAGAAATGCTAAATTAAACAAAAATCCATCCTCCAAAGCCTTATGAAAGTGTTATGATAGAGCTGGTTCTAGGAGGTGAAAGAATTCAGAGGAGGACCAGCCCAGCTTCAAGAATGGGATGATGAAGGCTGCTAGATATTAGAGTTAGTATAATAATATTAATAATAAATAATAAGCTAATAGTTACCCTACCTAGAATAAATCTTTTGTTTAATGTTCCCTTTTGGGGGGAGAAGAAACTTGAGCTGAGTTTTAAACAAGTTGGAGTTTGTTAGCAGAGTGAGGTGGGGCAGGACAAGAGTGTTTCAGCCAGCAAGACCAATTTCAACCAAGACAAAGAGATATGTTTTATGTCTATTGTGTCTGGACATCAAAAATGCCTCCAGTGAGGTAGAGGATCCTGAGGTGTAGAGTGTATGGAATTGAGTGGATGGAAATGATATTGGTGAGGTCAAGTAGGACTCATTCCCTTGGCAGATATGCAACATCCTCTGTGCCAGGCACTGTCCTGTGCTCCAGGAAGTCAATGG